AGCCTGTTGCAGTGCCCAACCACCCTCTGGGTGAAGAACCTTTTTTCTAGCATCCAACCTACACCTCTTACACAACTTTAGGCCATTGATTTCAAAGAGAAAATGATCCATGCTCATGGATCTGGGCATGACTCACTATATGGGTAGATAAAGACACAAAGCATAAAAGAAGAGAATACTTAGGAACATCTTTCTATGCCTGTATTGAGGTTCCAATGTGCCTTGTATTTGGGGAAATTCTGTACAGATGGTTTGATAATTCTGCTTTCAGCTGAAGGACAGGATGGCTAGAAGTATTATTGAGCCAAAATAAATGACATTTTCACAGGGCTGCCGCTAAGTAGAAGACTGGTTCTGCTTGGCAGAAGGGGAAGGCATGAAAAATACAACACTTTGAAGGGCAGAGCAGAACCAAGACAAGAGGGGTTGGCAGAAGGCACCGTGGTGCCATCCTCATGACCAAAGACTGGCCCTCTTCTTGAGACACCAGACTGGCCAAAAGCAGAAGTCACAAACTGGAGCTTAACAGGCTTGTCTTCAGTCTGATGTAACCATCTTACAAATATATATGAAATATATTAATTTCTGTGAGGTGTTCAGACACAAGGACAATGCATGACCTCATTAGTGCCTGACTAATCAACGAAGGCTGGAAGCAGGAGGTGTGCTGTTTGCTTTGCTTAGGAGCTGCCGACACAGCAGGAAGGAAGCACATGTAAAGTTCAGGTGCATCTGACTTTTTGTGCAGAGACAAGTTGGTCTTTAATATGGCTATACCAGGTTTAGTTTCTAATTTTAATAATTACTCTCTCCTAAAATCACAGCCAGCAAATGGCTGATCTTGAATTCAGCCCAAAATCAGTGGCTATTGAGAACGAGTGGGGGCAGTGACAAGAGGGCTTCATGTTGCATTCAGATTATATTATTAATTTGTAATCTGTATACCATGCACAGGGCAGTTTGCTATAGACTATGTACTGAGTAAATAATTAAGCAACAACTAACTGTACAGAGAAGGTGGGAAGTGCTCTTGTGTGTTATTAGTCCCTCACAGTCTTCAGAAGTGGATTATAAGTGACTCAGAATCTTGGGCTACGGATGGCAACCTTGTCATCAAATATAAAAAAATACCCTTGATGAGATCAGTGAAAGCTCTCCAGAGGTCTGAAGCTGGGCAGCAAACACTCTGATTAGCTGCTGCCTCCACAAAATACAAATTCTTCCCTGAGCCCAAGAAACAGCTGATGGATATAGTCGGAAGTGATAAAAAGGTCACTCTTAAGTGGATACAAGGAGATTTAACTCACAACACCATCATCCTGAAGCCCTTACACAAATAACAAAAGACAAGCTTCAAAAACTAGAGGGTCCTTCAGTCTAAAGACTTACACAAATCTTTGTCATATATCTGAGTCCTAAAGAAAATTCACCTCTGAATGAGACTGCAAAAATCTACCAAACAAGCACCCTTAGGCCCTCTGGCCCTCTATAGCAACATGCTGTCACATCATACGGTGGTGATATAGTACAAAACTGTGGAATTATTTCAAAATTATAATGATTTGCAGCATGAATTCCTAAACCACACTGTCCAGTGCAACTATTCTATAGCTCTTGCACAGCCCATCCATGATTATTTCATAATCATATGACAATCATATCAGATGAGGATGGAGAAGTAATTTCCATTCTAACAGTCATACCATCTCCTAAAACTAGGTTCTTTTCTATTCAGTTGCTATTTCTAAAAGCGCCATCCAAGCAAAGTTCTGAATTTTTCAGTTGATTTTCCATACATATTCTAACATGTGGGTATTTCAAGATGAATAGAATAAATCTCATACTTTGCCAATATATTTAAAAGTTCAGTGGAATGACCTCAGGATTAATAACCTGACATCAATCCAGTGTAAAATACTGGAATGGCTAATTCCAGGCACTATTTATAAAGAATCAGAGAAAAGTAATGCAATTTATGCCAATCAGGATGGAATTAAGGAAAATATATTTTATTTCAAGAAAGCTATCTTGATATTTTTTGAGGTTTTAAATTTTCCAGGGAAAAAATCTATACAACTGATGTAATACTTATAAACTTTGGTAGCACTTTTGGAACCAAACAGAATTTTGATTAAGAAACTAGAATTATCTAAAATCATCAATGTAATGATGATTTACATTCTTAAAAACCCTTATAAATAGGGACTCATCATCAAGAGGATGTCAGTCAGCTCTTCAGGGTCAGTTCTGGGCTCTACGCTGAGTTTGTACAAGTCACTAATAAGTTTTTCATTATTGTTTTCTTTCAGGATTTAGCCCATGTTTATAAGCGTGCTAATATTTTGATAGTGCATTTTTATGGAAGCACTGAAACCCCATACAGCTAATGTATGAGGTCAGGACAGAGCTTCTATTGCTTAGGACATACTAAAATCAAGACCACAGACAAACATTCTCAGATTTGCTTCACTGAAGTTTGTTAGACCACATTGTAACAGTGTTATCCAAATCATGGATTAGGACAAAGCCAAAGAACATATGTTTGTCACATCCTGTTTGGATGATACCAGCATAGACACAAACAGAACAAGCAGATTCTGGCACAAAATCAAAGACATTTTTGTTAAACTCACAGTTGTTAAAGAACATGTCAATTATCACATGGACTGAGTAATTAAATTCTATATTTTGCCCATGAAAATATCTTTAATAGCCTTTGCAAAATGTCATTTTCAAAGACAATCTTTAAATTTGTAAGGTCTGCTTTTCAGCAGAACATAGACAGAACAAAGATTTGATTCACAGCAGTTCAAATAACAGCTTATTTTTTTCATTTGCAGGAAATAAGTTTTTTCTACCTGCTTTATTTTAAAGCTTCTTGGGATATAAAAGCTTTCTGCTCAGTCATTGGCTGTAAATTGCAGAATGAAGCACTAACCTACAGCATTTCCAGATGAAGTAGTCTGTTTATACAGAAAGCACAAGAGCTATAATTACTACACGATCACATCTGTATATCGAGGTCAGATTTATGTGATTCATGCTATTGTTTGGACATAAAGGGAGTTGATTTTTAGCATGGTGGTGCACAACTACTATTATTGTTACATCACTGACTGTAGAAACAATATTAACTTTTGCTCATTTGAGTTTTTCTAGTTAGGTTAACTACAGCTCAGGCATGTGAGAAAACTGGCTGGTTAGTATTTGCCCTAAAATGTTCATGATATTTGCAAAATATGTATTTATATTATTGCTATCCAGGTTGTATATTCTATTATGAAAGAAAAAAAGACAAAAACTCCAAAATAAAAAACAAACTAAGTCATTGAATGATTTATGCATGAAATCACACAGAGTTCAAGTAATATCTAATGCAGGTAATTAAATAGTGTACAAAATATTTCCTGATATTTTCTTCTCCTCTGCAAAATCCCTGAATAAGGTTTTCTTCTTGACTATTACCAAATACATTGGCAAGTTTTATATTCTGTTACTGAGAATCCATTGGCTCTCCATACTACTTAACCAATTCTAAAAGCTTAAAAATATAGGGATTCAACTCATTACACTTATTAGTTAAGCATTAGAATTAGTCAAGCACTTAGATTGTACCAATTAATTCAATATAATTGTATGTATTTATAATCAGGCAAAAGAAAAAATGCTTTCCTAATGGAATCAGCTATTGTATTATTGTATTGAATTAAATTGCCATCCAGCTGCCATTAGTGTCAACCTGTTCTTAGTTAGACCCCCTTCTTACTGAAACCCCAACTAGTCTTTCTCTTGTCAGGTGTAGGTGTCCCTGGGTAAAAGGCAATCATATTTCTCTGGTTTTCATTGTTCTCTATCTCTTCTGGGCTTTTATATTTCATATTCACTCCTTGCTCCCACTTGCTCCCACTCACATACTGTCATATGTAAGGATTTTACATAAACCTGATAGTGTTATCTTCACATTGCCAAGTACAGTTGGGAAGCACTGGTTTTCTTTTTTTGGGGGGTGAGAAATAGAGTCAAAACGCCATCTTGACGCAGCCCAAATTCTTCTACTGTCTTTAGGTCAAGACTTTCATAAAAGCTGTATTTAGCCTCAAAAGACAAATCACTCACGGGGGCATAAGGTTTGAGGAATTTACCATTTGAATGGTGCCCTAATAAATTGTCCAAAGGTCACAGATTCAGTGTTGAACCCACATAAGCACATTCACCACCTTTTCTCTCTCTAGGAGAGCCGCATATGTTTCCTTCTCAGTGTTGTTTCTCACCAATCGATGATAAATTCAACCAACGTGATTTCTTTATAAATATTTTTCTAGACTTCTTTGATATTTAATTTATTTGCTGATTGCTGTTGTACCAAGAGGCCCAAAAATGAATAGGAGATGTAGAAAGGGAATACAATCATCCTAAACCACTGAGATCTAACGTAAAATGCTGATAACTCTGCTTATAGCAAATGAGCAATTAAATAATATTCAGTAGATTCTTATAACACATGTAAAGAGATTCTGTGGCTTTTTAGACTTATGAAAAATAAATTGCCATCAATTCAAAATGTAAATCATAGTTACTCGTCAACTTAGGTCAGCGTCCAATTTAGAAAGCAATGAGCTGTTATATATATTTTATTTCTTGCTTTGATTTGAATAGTATAAACCTATGATGATGAAGGTGATTTTTTTGCCTAAGGAGATGGATAATATAATTAAAAGAAAGAGGTGTGCTGTAAAATTAAACAATTTTAAGCAGACGTGTCATCATGGGTTGAATCAGATCCAGGATTGCCAGTGGCTATGGGTTTGCTGTAAGATGGTGGTACTCAGCTGTCTGTCAGGGGAGGCCCTTCCCAGTTCACAAAAAAAAACCAGTGAAGTGCCCAGGCCTTCCTCTAACAACTTTTTTCCTGCATGTAACACAACATTCAGGCATAATGCTCTTGGTTTAAGGTAGATACTTCTCCTCTTGCATACTTGACTTCAAATCAAAGGACTCACCTCTTCCTTACGAGCAGAGCCCATAAGCATTTCTTCTCCTGTGCTGCCAAGCTGGTGGCATACCTGGTAGAATCTCAGATCCTTTCCAGCCAGTATGTAAAAATCTGAAATCTGCTGGTTAAGGAGCTGTCTAGCCCTTCTAATAACAAAAAAGCTCTTGACAACATCACTTGAAAGTATCATAAAGGCTCAGAAACAGAAGGGAAAAATGAGATAGTAACATCCCATCCAAAAAGTCTTATGTCGCAATTTTTAATTGAATCTCATGTGTCTTGGAGACAGGGATTATTCTATGTTATTTTTAATGTTAAGGATTGGCAAACCTTCAGACCCACATGACATATCTGGAAACACCAAACAAACAGGACAAAACCCATAAACAAACTACAGCAGTCTCTGGGGAAATAGGTCAACAGGCCTAACCAGACTTCTCTTAGACAGAAGGTTAAAAAAAAAGACTTATAGACGAGGAAATGTGCTTTTCCTCATGGAATCAAGGAATCAAGTTATGTGCTCAAGTGAAAATGGGCAGACTGGTTAAGCAAAGGGTGTGATCTGGGAATGGCCTCCCACTCCCCTGCGGCCTTAGCTCCTCTGTTTGATCCCAATCTCATCCTTATGGGTCCTTGTCAGATCTCCCATTCTGCCAGCTTACCCAGTCCACATCTCTCTGTCTCATGTGGTTTGTCCCAGACTCCTTGCTTTATCATCTCATGGCAATGTCTTCTGTGTAGCATTCTCCTTCCCAGCACAAGTATCTGGCCTCAAAACCCTGTCAATCTTTATTCTGCCTTGTCCTTTTGGACCAAACGTGGAGATCAGCCCAGAAGGGCTCAAAGTGAAAGGTATGTGCCAGTCCTACCTACCTGTCTGAGGCTCTGCAGCATCTCTAACACCTTCCTTCCCCTAGAGCAACACCATGCTTAACCTGGAAAGAGTACACAATATAATAGCAGAGAAGTCTGATAAAAAACTGCAAAACCACTTTTCCATGGTGTGCTATGACTGTCCCCCCACCCTCCTTCCCTCTCTTACACGCAGGATTGCTCACTGTCAGACTCCTTCTTGCTCCCAGTCTCTTTATCCTTCAAATCTTATCTCCATCTTCCAAAAAAGATCAGTCTGGTGCATACACCTGACATGGAAATTTTCAGCCTGAATGGTTAGACTGAAGTTATATCTGAAAACAGGGTCTTCTGAAGTGTCAGACAACTTGGACAGATGATGTTACCAGCGCTGCACTGAGTGCAGCTGAGTGAGTAGTTGCCACATTGAGTTAGACAGAGTTTTCCCAGCCAGCTAAATGAAACTCTCCTGTAGCAATTTTTAACAAGGTGTTATTTTTCAGGGGATTTCTAATGGATCTCATTACCACAATGAAATTCAAAATATCAAATTCAGTGATCAAATAATATACGATAAATTGCCATCACTGAAGGATTAACAGACATTGTTTCATACTGACTGTTTGAGTAAGTGACCTTGTCAGTCCCGTAGTTTGGTCAGTTTTACTTCCTTGATCTTTTCTCCTCATCTAGGTAGGTTTCTGGTCGTGACAGATGAGACATGAGATCTTCAGCATCCAGGCTTTCAAGCTTTTCTTCAAGAGATTCACTATGGAATCGGTAAGAAAGACAAAAGACATAAATATAAATGACCAGGTTAAAGAGTAAAAATCAGACCACAGAATCTGTGAAAAATAAGCCCAGAAAACATTGGTTTTATCAATTATAATACCTGCAAGTGGGGTTTTTCTCTGCTTAATGCCACTTTGGACATTACTACAGCGGGTGTTTCTCAGAAAATGTCTAAATCACTGATCCTTCCAAGGATCAAAAATTCCAATAAAGCAGTAAATACTTACAAAACATTGATTACCTGAGCACATACTTGAACAAACACATTTATTACATATTTTACTTTGCTGTAGTAGATTTCAAAGCTGGATAAGGGGCACAGGGAATAAAAAGGACACTCCTTTCAACTCATCTAGATCTAGTAACTGATGTTGTTTTAACTTTGAAAACAAGAAATCTCTGAGATCAGCCTGAAAAATCTATGGCAAGATTTGTGCGGGGGCTTGAAAAGAGGAGGGACTCTCTTTGCATGATGTAAAGTGCTGAATAGCACACAGTTGTCTAAATATGCTTTTGTTTATTCAGTCTCTGGATGGTGAGTGCTCTTGTTTTAAAGTTTCCACTGTGTTTCACTGAACCACTAAAAGCTACATTTGGTTTGCCTAACTTGAACCACAACACTGATGGTTAAGGCTGCAGTGTTCTTTGTACCTGGTGCACTGGCTGGAGCTGCCCTGGCACAGGTCACTGCTCCCCATGTGACCATTGCAACGCTGTGGGACTTTCATCTTTTCTTCCTCCCTGGGGGAATTAGTTGACCATATTGCACTCCAGACCAGCCAAGAGGGTGAATCACTGCTGCTGATCTTCTAAAAACTGAATAAATCCTCCTTTGGTGCATTTGCTTTGTCACATGGCTACACATATTTTTCCTTTTTAAGTCCATGATGTCTTAAATAAGCAAAAGTTCAGAAGTCAAACAATCATCTTTGAAAAAGCATGAAGCTCTTAAGCTGGACAGTCTTATTTGATTTTGAAATAGCACTTACATTTTTATGCTCCTAGATTTTCTTGGAGAAATAAAACACAACCATCAACAAGAAAATAAGTAGTGTTAAGTTCCCTGAAATCAATTAAGCCCAGTTTCATTTCATATTTTTGTCTTGACTGCAGCTCCTGAGGAGGTGCAAACCATCACTGAAACTTTTCACTTAGAGGATCTTTCTCCCACACTGATCATCTTGATAAAGAACAAGATGATGGTGAGCCGTTCCTATCCACGGAGGCAAGAAACAACTTTTTCCTCTGCTCATTTCTATTTTCCCACAACACTTTTAGGAATCAAAGGATTTTGACATTTTTTCTACCCTCCTTTCAAATCTTCTGGGATGAGCATTGCTTTAAAAAAATCCTTAGAGGCAGGATAGATGAGCAGATGGTCATTCTCTACAAGAGAGCCAGTTAACTTAGGAAGATGGAAGCTCAAATTCAGTGGTTAAAAGCAGAAACAAATGAGTAACCAGAGAAAGGGGCTGCTGTGGTGAACTTCTCGACTGAAATTCTGTACTTCTTTATTTCATTTAGCACCATGTAAACACTGACCCAACAGAGATTTGGTTCACACAGTAAGACTAGTTTCCAAAAGCTTCCATATGGTTATCTGACATCCTGAATTTTAACAGAACCCCACAACTTCAACATTCAAACATCTACATTAAAAAAGCATGCAGACCATAATTTTAAATACTTAAAAATAAATATTTTAAAACTTTTGCTTGAGCATTAAAGCAGATATGCCTCTAATTATTTCAGGTCTTATGTATTGTTAAACAAACAAATAAACAAAAAAACTTCAAACAAAATAAAATCTCACTAAAAACCAAAAGGCATTGCCCCTGAATTGAAAATTTCCTATGCTACATTCAAGTCCAGAGTATGGCCACGTGATGCATCATTGAAAACAGTAGCTTATATGAGGGAAATGCAGATGTGCCAGTAAGTTCAGGGGTTGCAAGGACCTTTTTTATAACATCCAACATCTGCAGATTTATTTCCAATATTTCTCTAACAATATGCTATTTAGGAAATTAACAAATGAAGTATGCTCAGTCAATACTATAAGCCAGCATTTGAACTTCAACTCAGTATGTCCATATATATTCATGTCTGCAAACTGTGTCTTAGCAAAGCTTGTGTAAAGGCACAAATAAATTCTGTGCCTCTGTTTAGGGTCTTAGTCCCTCTTCTTCCGCAAAATACTGCTTTTATGCTAATAAAATCATAATACAGAGAGGGAAATCCATCACAAAACCAGATCTTTCTGCTTTATATTCTCACATCATGACCAATTAGTAGACATAAACTTTTTCATTTACCTGTCAAACCTTTTTGTCTATCCAATAAAATGCTGACAAAATTGTTTGGCCTGGGAGCCCTTCCCATCTTTCAGCTATTTTTTGAAACTCTTACACTAAAATGTATAGTAAAAATACTTAGTTCTGATATAGCAGTACTCAGCTGTAAAAGCCCAGTGTGCTTTCACCTAGAAAAATAAATGTAGTTGTCTGCATTCCACAGATAGAGAAAAGATGTACATAGAGATCAAATGCCATGTCAGAGCCATGAGTGGTACCCCAAGGACATGATCCCAGGTGTACAGAGCCTTTATTTCATTTTCAAACTACTTCCCAGGTTCCTTTTGGTTTGAACCTCCATTTTCACTGCAGGCAAAACGCATGCTGCCATCAGCATACATTTAGCTGCTTAGGTAGAACCAGAGATGTGCCTGGTAATGACACAGCCAAATCGTTTCCAGAGGGAAAGAGAAAATATTGAAATGTTTGCAATGTGGGTTGAGGCTTTATTTCATTCCCTTTTTATTTTGGAGAGCCTGTTATGCCAGCTGCCCTGCAACATGTTCATTTCTGCAGTATCATTCTCCGATTTTAGTCATTGCTATTTCTCATATTAAAAAAAAAAAAAAAAGGCATTCAGCTACTATGATTCCTGCTTTGGAAGGACTCTTATTTCTCTTGTTTCAGTCAGAGTACCCTTTCACGATATATTGGCTTCATCTTGTCCTTTGCAATCCCATGGACATAGCCTGCTCTCATGCCAATGTGTCTGCAGTGCCCTTCCAATAATCCTCCAAGGATTCGCTCAGGGTCAAGAATGCAAGAATAACCACTGACAGGTTTTCCTGTGCTGGTCCTCAACCTCACCAAAGCAGTGATGGTGGGAACTGCTGGGAGAGCAACTCCCAGGGGTCAGCAGTTCTTACATGACCATCTCTGTGAGTAAAGAGCAGGCTCCCATTCACACCATGGGCAAGCGTTAAACTTTCCAGTGGCTCCACTGACAGTTTTCTTATCCATCAGCACTCATTAGAGTTTGATATCTTTGGGCTGTCAAAACTACAGTCCTTATAGAAGAGTATGCTGCTGCTGCTTTTATATTCTGAATATGTTTTAAGGGCTGTATTTTGAGTCTGTTCTCTCCTGACACACAGAATCATAGAATATCCTGAGCTGGAAGAGATCCACAAGGACTATCAAAGTTCAGCTCCTGGCCCTGCATAGGACAGTCCCAAGACTCACCCCATGTGTCTGAGAGCATTGTCCAAACGCCTCTTGAACTCTGGCAGGCTTGGTGCTGTGACCACTGCCCTGGTCCATTGCCCAACCACCCTCTGGGGGAAGAACCTTTTCCTAATATCCAACCTAAAATTCTCCTGACACAGCTCTATACCATTCCCTAAGGTCCTGTCACTGGTCACCAAAGAGAAAAGATCACTGTCTGCCCTTCCTCTTCCCCTCATGAGGATGTTGAAGACCACAGTGAGGTCTCCCCTCAGTCTCCCGTTCTCCTGGCTGAACGAACCAAGTGACCTCAGCCACTCCTTGCATGGCTTCCCTTCTAGGCCCCTCATATGCAGTATTACACTTCCTATGAACTGACGTAAGGTTTCTTAAATGAGCAACTCTAACAAACCATTTCTGTAAAATAGAAATACCAAATTCAGTACACCTGTAACAAGCAAAGGAACACTCCTTCCCTGTCCTGAGGCTGCTGCCTCTTGCCACAGGTGAGCATTTTCCTGTTTTCTCTTTGGAGGATGCAGAGGTTGCAGGAGAAAAGCCCATTGCTTGTTGATGGTGTTATTATTGTTAGCCTGGAATGCCATTACGCATTTGTCTGCATGACTCTTGATCTCGCATGACAAAACCAAAAAACAAAGGCAAAACTGAATCAGCAGATTAGTCAGCTTAATCTTGTGTAACTCAATGCTGCACTTCATTTTCAGTGCTGTTATTTTCAGCTGCCCTTTGAGATCGCTCTTTGAGCTTACTTATCACTCAGGCAAGCTGCTCACCCAGGACATTCAAGTAAATAAGATGGAAAACATATCATTCAGCAGAATATTTCTGATGTTTTGATTTAATCTTTTTCATTTGGTACACATAGTGTTAAAACTGCAAGATCTTAATGTTACCAAAATGTCATTTATAATGAGAACACAATGAGTGCTCTTTTTACTATCACATTAATATTGAAAGAATGCAAAAAGAACCTTCTGTTTAGGCCACTATTGTTAGTGCTAAAAGGCTTTTAAACTAATACTGTAATTTCTGAGAGAGTTGCTTATGTTTTCATATCTTATTTTAAATACCAAATGAAGACAACTGCTCGGAGATGCCAGTATTAAAATTGAAATCAGCTGATCCTTGTATTGAAAACACTCACAGCAGCAACACAAATTGTTGATGCAGCTCATATAGTCTATAAACCATAATGGTAGATACTGTCACCTAAAACCACAGAATTGCAATCAGCATGTTTCCTGAACCTGGATTTTGGTTTTCTGCATGTACAGCAATATGACATAGACAAGAACAGTTTCTTTTGACTGGAAAATTACCTGACTGTTCTGTCCCAACAACACAATCATTTCAAAGATTTGTTTGCAAATGTCAAAGCCAACAGCCTTCTTTCTCAAGCAGAAACACTCTGCAGTTACCATATAAGTTTCCTTCAAGCAAATTAGCACCCATCACAATGTGTGATGTAGGCTTCAATGTTTAAAATAGGCTTTGCCTTTTCCGGTGAATACATCATGCACTTATGTGATATTAAACGTGTAAACACTCTGCAGGTTAAAATATGTAGTTGTTACATTTTCTACAAGGCTCAGTCAGCTGTTGGGACCATCCTCTGAGAGGACACAGCTCCTGGAGGTGAAATGCCTCCTGACTAAACATTTCCCACTGAAGTACAAAGTGATGATGCTGCATGTCCTTACATCAATGGTGTGGTTTTGTTTTTCAAAACAAAACTATGGGAGTTCCATTAACAAAAAAAGTTTACTGAGTTTTAGCACGAGATACTCCAAAACCAAAAGCAAAACTCAGCCTGCTGAGATTCTTGTTGATTTGAAGCTTCTTTTATCCTCTAAGCCCAACATTCAACTCAAACAGCTGATGTTCAGAAATATTTGTGGATATTCTAGTACTTATGGCCATAAATTTATATAAGCCTTTCCCATTAATTTTGTCAGAAGTTATCTGACAATAATAGTATAAAAATGTAGCAACAGCAATTTACCATATAGACATTTTCTCAGGGAATCTCAAACCAGTTTTATTTGGTATCAAATGCCATCACTGTCATATGTCGTACAGTGATCTCGTACAGTGAGTTAGGGTCAGGAGGAGGATGGGAAGTAATGCTGACTGCTGTGTTTAGCTGAAATGGATAAGTCTAACACCAAACCACAAATGTATTCAGGATAGCAGTATAGTAGAGAAACATAGCCTAAGGATATTTTCCTGATGAGTTTTAACACACCAGCAGTTCTGTTGGTATTTGCTGCTGAGCTGGTGACACTCTCCATGTTGGTGAAGATGTTAAGGAGCATAAAAAGAACAACTATGTAGTTTACTAACAAAAGCATGTGAATTTCAATGATTTTATGTTTTAATTAAACATTAATGTCAAATCTACACCATTTTTATCAGCAGTAATAGCCAAGATAGGAACCTTCAAGCAAAGAAATGAGTGTAGTTGTAAACTTGTATTTGCAAAGTGGAATTATCTTGTCCATACTTGACAATCAAAAAAACCCCAAATTTGACATGTGAGATCCTGGCATGACTATCTATGCCTGTACTAATCAAAAGGAGTCATCTGCACAGTAACCCTATGCACAGTGACTTCCTTCTCCAGCTAACAACTCGATTCAGCGCCACACTGACAGGCTGCAAATGGCCCTGGAGGCAGCTTGTCTGAGCGTGCTTGACGGCAGGGTTTGGTGTACAGCCAGGGACTTGGGTCAAGCTTGTTTACAAAACCAAGCAGCAACCACACCTTTGTGGTTCGTATCTGTGAGCTTGCTTCCTATGCAGCAGGGAAATGTGACCTCAGGGTGGTCCTGGGGCTGCTCTCTGTGGGCAGCATAAGCATATCCCACAGGAGATCCGCCACCAGCTTCAGCCCAGATGAGGTGTTGATATCCTGAAGAGCTGACTTTGCATGACTAAAGCTAGAGCCACAATCACAGAAGAGCCACAGGCTTCTCTATCTGGCTCCTTATCTATAGTGGAAAGATAATCTTGTTCTCTACCTCACCACTGTGTGGTTTCAACAGTTAATTGCATTGATGATGTGAAGAGCTGTGCAAGTGCCATGTAGCTCTTCATCTCTAGCACATATTGGTCCTGCTGCAAAGTTTGCAATGATGACAATAGTCATCATCACCTGATGACTCCTGCTCTCAGCTCTTGTGAATGAACTGATGATCTCAATCTAAATATAAGCTGTCTAGAGGTCTATAAAATGAAAATACTACAGTTGCTATTCAGTTTATTGCACAACACCTGTGCTAGTAGTTTGTACTGTCATTGCTATGTTCCTTAGCCTCTCCCTAAACATGGTGACTATCACCAGTATTGCAGAATTATTATCAATTTGCTGTAATTAACTCTCCTGTTGGCAATCACAGTACAAAAAGCCAAGGAATTAAATGGATTTGTAGACTGAAACGCTGGGAGGGATGGCAAGACAGCACAGGTTCCTTGACTGCAAGGCATCAGCAGTAAAGTGTGTGCTTTCCCGTGCTGTTTGCATGATCCTCACCAGCACTAGCTTGTCCTAGGATGGACACAGAGATGCATTTCACTTCAGAATACCAAGAGGAGTGAGATAAGCATAACTTCACTGGCAAGCCTTCCATGAGAAAAAGGCTGCAGCACAGCCTCCCCCAGGATCTAGCACAGACTAAGATAGCATTAGAGCAGACACTGTGAAATATAACTTTCACACTCTGATGATTATTCTTTGACATTTGTGAAGTGAAACAGTGACTTCAGTTAGTGACAATTTATAGAGAGGTGCATCCTACAAATTTAGAATTGAATCTCAGATACCGATCGCAATTCAAAACAGGAAACATGGTAAAATCTGAAATCCACTAAACATTATCTGAAATACTTACATAATTTGACTAGTTTAAACCTAAACACTTTTTTATAGGCAGCTTGTATAATTTACTTTTATTAACATCACATTAATTAACTAATCTTGCTTCCAGTGAGTTTAAGTGAAGATAATCCAAGCCTAAAGAGGTCATGCCCATAAGGCTATTTTCTCTACTAACATTTGTATAGGGGCAGGGAAATGCTGCTTCTATGTAGCAAAACAGAGCACCATGTTCTCTTAAATAGAATTAAAAATTTCACAACTGTCAAAAAAAAAAAAAAAGGCAATTATGATTGGTAATTACTGATCTTCCTTTTTCTTTAGGCCTTGTGCTGTTCTCTTTATTTACCAGTATTCTTCTGTATTCATTTTACTTTTTATATATTTAATATTTCATTTCAAAAGATAATTTGTTTTCTGATGAGGTAACACAGAAGCTCAGCTGCTGTTACTCTCTACTCAGCTTTCACTTCTGCCACTCTTCACTGCTCCAGTTTCCCTGGCCTGCCTACTCCCCTTCTTAGTTGAACATGCTTTTCAGTTCTACACTTTAAATTTTCTCAAAATAGTATTGCAGAAATTACATCTTTAGCAGTATGTCCAGCTTCTGCCTGCACTCCCTCAGGTAGGATTTTTTGGGATAGCACATAAGGTTATTTTACAGTCCAGAGACTAGTGCTCAAGCTCAATAACTTCAGCCTGAAGAGGAACAGTTCAACCTTAACAGTGAGAGTACCCAATTAATTAAACCAGTTAGCCCATCAGTGCAATGGATTTATCCTCACTTGATATCTGCTAGAGAGGGATCAGGACTTTTCCTAATGTGAACACCATGTCTGTCATGCAGACCACAGGCCTGGCCCAGGAAGAGCTGTGCGACAGCCCATGATTGATGTTCTGCAGGAAATTACAAGGGATGACCGCAGAGACCCTGTTTGGCCCTCAGGCCATATCCCAGTCCCTCGCCCATCTAGTTTCCATGCAGGCTGGGTACGCCGAAGCAGCTCTTTTGGATGCTACCAACTGCTCTTCCCTGGCCCAACCCCCCAGCCAGTTCTTCACTCTCCATAATGCTTTTGATGCCACCAGCCATTTTTATCTTCTTAATCTCTCTTCCTCCTCCACTGCTCTTGCGAACACGATCCTCAATTGATTTTCTTCCTACCCCTCTAGTCCCTTATTCGGTGCTTCAGTTTTGTTTTTTTTCCCAAATTCATTTTTCAGTGCAACTCCCACACAGTTCTTTTCTTGGCTTCCTCCTCCTCTTGCCTACTCTACCTTGCAGAGTCTCATGATGTTTAACAATCATCTGTACGAGCTCCGAGCCTTTGTGCCAGAAAGGATCACGTGAAGCAGCAGCAGCAGCAATCACATGGCCATATGGAGGGCTTCTGCTAAGGCAATGAAATCAAAGAAACATGTTCAGGCAGGACCATTTCTCAGCAGTATTGGTCATATTTTTTCTGGCAGAACTGCATACAAATCATTTTTTATGGGTATACACAAATCAGGTATCTCCTTTTAATGCTTACTCAGGCATTGCAGCCTTTAGCTGATACTGTCAACTGTTTCTGAGTTGTACAGTCATTTTATTAGAATTACATACAAAACTATGTAAAAGCTTAAATGCCTTGTAATGCAGTAGGTCCTTATACAGAGAATATAAAAACTTTTGAAATGGATATAGCCATATAATATTGCTTACTTTCAGTTGTTCAGTCTTGAGTATATTTCCCATTCCTGAATGGCTGAGCTTATGTGAAGAGAATCACAAACACAAAGAGTAGGAAATCACATAGTATGGCTAAATAAATCACACTGATACAGCAGATGACCATAATTACTTGAGCCTCCTGAGACTTAGCCTTCTTTAGAAAGGAACATATGGGTCCCAAAACCTAAGCTTAAAAAAATATCATTAGAGCTGTCTGTCAGTTCCCTGAGTTACATGACGCAATAATGGAAAAAAGGATATGTTAACTTATTCAGAAATAGTGCTCCGGAGGGGACTCAGGGCTGCAACCCCCGCGGTTCAGGTCTTGGGGCAGCGCTGCTACTGCTGCGACCCGGCCATCGCAGCAGAGACAGAGCCCTCGCTCTGGGAAGGCTCAGGTAATACATAATCGGCGACAGCAGCTTCTCTGAGACATAAGACTTCTTAAAAATTAACGAAGTGTGAGGAGGGTAAAAACCTACACAGCCAGGCTGCGGAATGGGATGGCTCTGTCAGCGGGGGCTGCACAACATCCCCGGCTTTACATCACCGGCGGATGGGGCTCCGACCGGCTGTGACGGACGTAAGAAAGGGGAAAAAGAAACAGCCCCTCTGGCTCGCCCCAGGGGTTCCGTAGACCGCGGGGCGGGCACACCGTCCCTCCCTGCTGCCACATGGCACAGGAAGCCCATTCCCCCGGCTGGCGACAGCGCTGGGCCCCAGCACTCGGCGACCTTGCCTACTTTCACCTAAAAACCCTTTTTTTTATTGTAAGAAAAGAGAAAACGGCACATCCCACGCCCCCCCCCCACCCCCGCCCCTCACCGCGGGGCCAGGGGAGGGGAACGGCGGCCGCGCCTGCGCGGAGCCGCTTCCTCGTTGTCCCCCGGCCGCCGCGGCGGCGCGCGGCGCGTGCCCGCGAGCGGTGCCCGTCAGCGGAGCCGCGCCCGCCCCGGAGCCGCCCAGCCCGGCCCGGCCCCGCCTCTCCCCGGCCGGGGGGCGCAGCCCGAGCCCGCACAAGTCAGTGCTCCACTCGGGCGGGAGCTGTGGCCGAGGCCGGGGGGGGGGGCGTGGGGGAACTCGACGCGGGTGGGGAAAGGGGCTGAGCTCGGCGCGGTCGCCGCTCCCCTCTCCCGCCGCCCTCCCCGCAGCGCCGCGGCGGGGCCGGGCCGGGCCGGGCTGGGCGCTGAGGGGCGGCGGGAGCGCTCCCCACCGGCGGGGCCAAGCGAGGGGCGCCGTGCGGGGGCGTCTCCCCCTTCACCTCCTGCCCGGAGGAGGAGGGGGCGGCCGGGGAGCGGCTGGATGCGGCGGGCGAAGCCTCAGCCTCCCTCTGCGGCTCCGCTGCTTTGATGCTGCGGGTCTCTGCTGGCTGTTAACATCTTCCCTCTGCTTTTTTTTTTTTTCTTTTTCTTCCCCCCCCCCCCCCCCCCCCCGAAACTTGGCTTCTTCTCGCTCCGGATCTGTGTGCTCGGCTCCTCCTGGGCTTTACCGGTGGGGCAGGATCATGCCGGACCAGATCACCGTGTCGGAGTTCATCGCCGAGACCACAGAGGATTACAACTCCCCGACCACCTCCAGCTTCACCACTCGGCTGCAGAACTGCAGGAACACGGTCACGCTGCTGGAAGAGGTAAATCATGCACACCTACACCCCACATCCCCTTTTTATTTTCCTTTTTCCTTTCTTTTTTTCTTTCCCCCTCCTCTGTCTTTGAGAGAGCATCAGGGACGGGGCAGCACCACCCGCCCAAATCCACGGGAGCCAGAGGCGTTGGTATGCATGTAATCTGGTCTTTTAATTGTGGGACTTTGCTCTTGTGTTGAGCTAGTTACAGAAAGCTTTCCTGCCCTGGCGTCTCAAAGATTAGTGCGTGAAGCAGTTGTCTGAACTTAAATATTACTGTGGTATTTCTTGGTGTTTTCAGTGTTGTCGGTTGTTGCAGTAGTAAAAAATGCATGAATGTTGGTATTTTTAGAGGGAAGATAAGGGATGAGTTTTGTTTGGGAGCGTTAATAGAGGTTTTCCCCGGCCACTCGTTACATCAAGTCAGCGCAGAACTCTGACTGCAGAAATCTGCCAAGGGAGACTTGGTTTAAGAAGTGAGGTAAGGATGAAGGGATGAATGTGGAGTGAGGGAAATAATATGAAAACAGAATTGGTGGAAGGAGAGGAGCAAAATAATGCAGCAGAAGTGATTACACAGTCTCTCCGTCTCAACCTTGAAGCCTCAGTGTTGGGGTTTTTTCATGCTTGTTATGAGCATTATTTAAATGTTCACCCTGCTTTGCTGTCAAGAAATAGGAGTGTGAAAATGGATAAACTTCTAGAGCTGGTTTCTAAGGGATATCAGTCTACTGCTTCCTATTTGAGGTTTCAGTGTGATTTCCTATGGACTAGGTCAGCAGTTATGAGGAAATGTCTTCCAAATGACTTTAAAGAAGACAGTGTATAGCTCTTCTCTTACCCTGTGCTTACTTGAAGGTACAAGCATAATGACACTGAAAGAAGACAGTTTTTTGCTATTGTTGCATAGGTTGCAGTTAATTGTTGCTTTGAATTATTCACTTAGTTCATCAAGTATTTGTCAATTCTTCAGGAGCCAGCACGTATCTAGGAGATGGATTTAACAAGTCTTAGTTTTGCTGAATGTACTGGCATGGGCAAAACATTTGGTATGCAAGGAAAGAGTATTAATTATTTAATTATGGTGTTCCCCTGATAATCTTGGGTATAGAAAATATAATTCCATAGGATTAAGATCAGTTAAAGTTGCCTTAGTAGAAAAAAGTCTGTGTTCATTATTGTAACAGTGCTATTGTTTACATCAACTGACTAGAGTGATTGTAAGTTCACATTTAAAATTATATATTTTATTTTTATTATGTAACCTAGATTAACTTCTGCACCTTTTCCATAACTGTAGCTGTTTTGTTCTTCTTTTCCTCTTGTAACTAAGGCATGATTGCTTATAGATTTGTCAGAAATCAACCTGTTAGGTTTGTGTTTGACAGTATTGCTGCCCCCTGGTCTTAACTATGTGGAATAGGTATAGCCATTGATACGCTTATTAGTACAGTTGACAGCATGTGCAGAGTTAAGTAAAAATATATATTTTGTCATTACTGGTGACTCCCAGGGTAAGAATACAGTGTAATGCTTTCATGATTTGGGAGATACTTCGGAACAGGCTGAATTTGGTAATGCCTGTCCAAAGAAAACCAAAATACAGAAGATAAATACACAGTGTTCTGCACTACTTCTGTGGATCGTGCATATTTTCAAAGTTTTTATGTCTGATTTGACAGCAATAAATCAGAAGAATAAAGAATAACGGGCTTGCAAGCAGTGCTTGCATTGCTATTTCTTTAATTTCTTTTGTTTGTATAACTGTTTTATGTGCTCTGTTTAAATTGTTTGCAGTTTAGACTGATTCTAGGCTTGTCTTCTGTAATTTTTTTATTATCTGTAAATATAAAAAAGCTTTATTTGATGGGAAACAAGATATAAATAAGCTCTACTGTTATGTGTGCAAAAAATCTGCAACTCTCTCAAATTTGTGCTTATTAATTTGCATGGAGAAATACAGATGGTCAGGATGTGGCAGGCGAAGTGCTCCTTTGGAGCCTTTGTGTATGCAAGCTACAATTACAATGAAGACACAGTTTTGCTGCTGCTGCTTTCAGGCTGGGCTGGTTTCTATACACCTGCTTACCTAAGGTAGTGGGTCCTGTGAAACAGGAGCCGGAAAATGAGTGGTTGAACTGGGTGTTCTGTAGCTCCTGCTGCTGCTGCTCTTGTCCATGCATCATGGATGACTGACAAGCTCTTCAACCAGCTCCTGAACTTAAATTTTGAGCATTCTGTGTTAAGGCAAAGGGGATGATTCCACCCTTGCAGCTGTTTGATTTTTAACTGAGTGTTGCATCTAGGATGGAGCTCTCATTGGGCTTTTGCAGGCAGTGTCAGGCTCTGTGCTGTTGTGGCGCTGCTGCCTGAAGTATCTTAGGTTATTATTTTACAGCTAATTTAATTCAACACAACCTGCACCTACATCAGTGACTATAAACTAGTTTGTGGATAAACTAATTAGTTTCTTTATTCTAAACAAGATTGCAACTGGGAACTAGTTTCTGAACAGAAATGGCAGGGGAATTAAACAGATTTAACAGAAGTTAGATATGTTTTCCAGCCTCTCAGTTTGGTGTGATTCCTACCATAGCTCAGATCAGTGGTAAGATCAGAACCACCTTTTCATAAACTACTTTGACATAAAAGAAATAGATGGTTTTGTGTATGTATGTGCCTCTGTCTAGTTCCCTGAAGTTATTACAAAATCGTGGACTTACTCTTCCTTAATCACAATTAACAAGTTTTCTGAAATAATAAAATAGGTGATGGACTCATTTGCTGATTTTTCTCACTTGCTTGCCCATCAGTAGAAGGGCAGTCTGTTCAGCTGCCTGAATTGCTATATATTATCTCCTAGTTGGGATTTTTTTTCCCCGGTTATAATTAAAATTCTTTTCAGAGGAGATTTTGGATCCCGTTAGATGCAATTCTGGGACAAGTTTCAGCTGACAGGCTTACATGTTTTCAGCAGACATGTTTACTGATTCTGATGGCTTTGCATTTGATAAGTTTTCAGTGGAAAGCACAACAAAATACAAAGACAAACTTTATTTAAATCTATTGTAATAGTATCAAAGAAGGTAGTAAGAACATGCTACTATGTAGCAGTTTATTGAATAGAAAGGTTTCATGCTACATTGTTTAAAATACTGAAGAGACAAAGCTAAAGTTTTTGTGATCCAGTCACAGCAGATCAAAAAGAGAAAAAAAAAAGACCCTGCCATCTTTGTAGCTAGGCTTAGGCATCTTATATAGTAGTTACCAAAAACTGCAAGATTTTTTTTTTATTATGATATTTTTATTTTTAAAGCAGGAGTGTTATGTGATTGCCTCAAGTAAACACAAATTTTAAGGTTCATTCTATTGCTAAAATAATGGGACTGTTTTTCAAAGTCGTAGAGAGAGAAACAAACCATTACAATGTAGTCAAAATCTAATTTGAGAGAATTGCAATCTCTACTCCTTTCTGTTGATTCCTTCCTCATAATTTTAAGTTCTTGCAAAAAAGAAAAAAAAGACATTTTTAATGTATTTCTGCATGCAACTGGGAAAAGTTTTATATAATGGAATACCTTTCCTCTTTAGAGAGGCTGAGAGAGTTGGAGTTGTTCAGGCTGGAGAAGCGAAGGCTCCAGGGAAACCTTAGAGCAGCCTCCCAGTGCCTTAAGGGGGTTACAAGAGAGCTGGAGAGGGACATTTTACAAGGGCATGGAGTGATAGGACAAGGGGAATTGACTTTAAACTGAATTAGATACAGAGAAGAAATTCTTTACTGTGAGAGGGATGAGACAATGGAAAAGGTTGCCCAGAGAGGTTGTGGATGCTCCATCCCTGGAAGTGTCAAGGCCAAGTTGGATGGGGCCTTGAACAACGTGGTCTAGAGGAAGGTGTCCCTGCCCATGGCAGGGGGCCTGGAATAAGATGATCTTTAAGGTCTC